ACGCTATATTGGTTACGATCTTTGAAGTTCTAAATAGGTTCTACCGTTTCTATTTGGGTTTCTTCTGAAACCCTAATTTTGTTTACACCTCCTAGATCTGGGCTATTTTGAAACGATTCAAGTCTGCTCCTTTATGTTTTAGACTATCCTTGAACTTCTTTTGCAAAAATCATCGATTTCAAGTTGATTTTCACTTTCTTCTAAATCTAGGGTTTTTCAGAACTTCTTCTACACTTTGTTTAAATCGATTTTTATGTTTTAACTTCTATCTTTTGCATATCTCGATTGTTTCTATGCTTTACTGCTTTTTCAACTCGCCTATGTTAAAAGCCCTAATCTTTAGGGTTCTTCGTTTTGTTTCTGTGTATTAGCATGACTGACCGGCTCTCATTTTTTTTGAGTTCTTGTGATTTCTTATGACTGCCTCGCCTTGATATTCTTCTACTGAGTTTCTCAGCCTAAACTTACACTGATTCTGTGTCTGTATTCATCTTGATTGTTCATATCAAGACTTGCATCTTTCTCACTGATTCGGTATTGTTTAACCTTCATGTTTTGCTAGAGTTGTGTGCCAATTCTCGACTATCCATGTCTTACTCTATTTATATGTTAAACATGCTGACTTTTTGTTTTTCTTATGACCTTCTCTTTGATTGATTCTGAATTCCCTGTTACTTGGTGTGATTTGAACACTTTCCTTTAAACCCCCCTTTCCACTTAATTTGATTAGTTTGCTTGCCTTAATTAATTTTCCCTTGCCTTGTCTGCATTGTTACTTGATTCTCATTGATTGTTTCCTTAATTTAAAACTTTCTGAACCTAGCCTTAATTACCTGTTCTATACTTGTACTATTTTGAAATCTTTCCTTATTTGTTATACTCCAGCCGTGTATGATTTCTTTCCTTACTTGTCACCTAGTCTTTACCGTTTGCACTGACTCCCTTAATTAAAGAGAGATTCGAACCAGTTTTTATACCGAGTTCTATAATTATTGAACAATTGATTCTTGCCTTATTTTAACCAGATTTCAAACTACTATATAAATGGCTCTCTTCTACAGTCTTAACATACGAACTCTTGATTCAAAAACTCTCTCACACACTTAAAGCTTTCTGCTCTCTTTTGGACTACTTGCTACTGCTCTAAGTTAGCCCTCTGCAAGCCAGGGCTAACCATTGTGTTCTCCTGCTCTTTCACTGTGTTTGCTATCCTCTTTACTGGTATGTCCTAGTTTCAATTCAGAGTTCCACAAACAATATAATTCTCTTATTATTTCAGTTCATTCTGTTTCTAGTTTGCTTTCATTTGTGGTTTTGCTGTGAAATCTGCAGTTAATATGTTTACATTATTAAGCATGTTGTGAACTTCCCTCCTTTTAGAATCAGTGTGTTACCCCCTCTGTTTGTTTCTGAACATTCCCAGACCTTTGCTTGATTATGTGTTTGCAATTGAGTGTTCTATGAATCCCAAACTCCCTTGACCCCTGTATGTGACTTGGTTCTGTGAATTGTCTATGTGCAAACCTGCCCTAAGGTGTTTGGATTTCTGTTCATCTCTTCAGCTCTTTTCTTTAAACAGTCTCTATTGCTTTACTAAACTACTTTCAAACAAGCCCTTTTTTATACATTTTTTCACTAAAATCACTTTCACTCTACTCTTAGTCAATAAGTTCTGCCCCCTCTAGTATGTGTACTGACTTGGGATCCTCTTGAGAACCCTCTGAACTCTGGCATACAGAGGCTGGCCCTTCCACACTGCACTTGTTCAATTTTGGTTACCAAGTCTAGGTGTAAGCACTGCCCGGGATCTTTGAGATCCTTAGGGAACTTTGATGCACCTAGACTATGTCATTGTCTATGGAATTGAGGCATATGAGGTCATTGGAGGCTTTGGGGAATCTGGGCCTAATTGAAGGCTCCCTATAGAATAACTTCCTGATTTTTATTTACTTATGTAATTCATTCATTGGTTTGTGATAACTTGTAAACAGATATTGGGGTATTTAGTGGAAAGGGTGGGTAGATACATGCTTTATGGGGTAATATGGGTAGAAATCCTGCTCTTAGGATCTTATTTTTTGTTTGCCCACTTTGGCAATAGAAAACATGCTCATAGGGATTTACTCTTCAAATCTGATTGCTTCGCCTAATAGAAATCATGTCTATAGGATCTCACTTCTAATGTCGTTTGCATCAAGTAGAAATCCTGTTCATAAGGTTCTACATTTTGTCATGTTTAGAAACCATGTTTATAGGTTCCAAACAATCATGTCTTAAACTCAGATTATTAATAGATTCCATGCCTATAGGACTTAATTCAGATTCTGGTACAATGAGTATTTATGTATGTTTCCCCGCCGGCAAACCATTAAAATCAGTGTTACACTTAGATATCATGCCTATAGGGAACCATATTCGAAATTCTGCCTTTCAACCTAGTTTAGTCTAAATAAGTCAACTTGATCACGACTAGTTCATTTCTGAATTGGTTTTATTAAGTATTAAGTATTTTATGAAACAAGTTCTTTCAAAATTGCATTAATCTCATTAGATACCACGCTTATAGGTATTAAAAGAGTCTATTTCGAAAACCTGTTTGTTTTCTGTATTAATACAGACACAGCATCTGCATATAGGCAAGCCTTAGGGCATCTTCAAAACTGCATTCCCCTGAAGCTCTCTCTGTCGTTAACGTTTCTGATTCTAATGGGTTTTAAAAGAATCCCTAGGCAACTTCTAAGTTATAACTTCTGGGTATAAAATATGGTCTATTTTTGCATAGTCACTTAGAGATCCTGCTTTAGAACTTTGATTAATAAAGACCTTAATTGTGTTCTAGTCGTGCTGCTTGTATGTTTACTTGAGGAGGAAAATTGAGCCTTTATCTACTCCTTCCTGTTCTTGTTTGCGCAAAGTCCTAATTTTTTTGCTTGTCGCCTTAGAGTTTTCACCTTTAAAACCTTAGGAGTACGTCTAGAACCACCTATAGGTAGAGGTCCTAACTCCCTCCAAGACCATTAAGAAGGGACGGGTAGCAGCACGCGATAAGAATTCGTGACCAACACTCGCTTTGCATGACCAATAAGGGGATGGGAAGGGTAGACATGGGTATGATGACCGGTGCGCTAATGCCACGCATAGCCCCTTTCTAAGGAGTGATTACCGAGCATTGTACTGATGTGATCCTATAGGCTAACCAACCTAGGACACCCCTTTACATTCACAAATATGCTTACTTCTTTCTTTTCAAAATCTAGCTTCTCATTGACTCTTTTTTTCCCAAACATCTGTGTATTTAAACTTAAATCCCCTACTATTTGAGCCATACTTGTTTATTTGCTAATTGTACAAATCCATAAAAACTGTTTGGCCGGGAACCACACTAGTGGATCCTGAGGGGTGCCTAACACCTTCCCCTTAGGATAATTTCAAGCCCTTACCCTGTCTCTGGTTACCAAACGTAGTTATAAATGAACCCTATAGGTGCCCTAACGCATCTTAAATCGTTAGGTGGCGACTCTTCAATAATGCAAACCCCTTTCCCAAAAGGAACGAGTTGTCTTAACCAAAATGTCATGAACCCGATTTCACGAGAAAAAAGGGGGCGCGACAGGCGCCATCACGACCCTTAGTGAAATTTGGACCGTGACACTACATCCCCCTCAATTACACCCAATTACATGCTTATTCGGTCAGACAAACATGCCAAAACTGTGTAATTACACCCAAATCCAATGACAAGGTGGCTTTCCAAACACGATCTAAATGTTAACTGCGGATTTGCACATATAGTCTCTCCTGCATTTTTTTCCCGGACAAATAATCACTTGGGGTTCTATTTAAAATTAATTTCTGTATACTAGCTGGTGAAATATTTACAGTGTCATGTCATCTAAGCTCCGGTTGGTCATAGATTTTGGCTTCATTTTTTTAAAACATTGTTTGCTTATGAAATAATTATGTTTTGAGGAATTTTTTTTCAAAAAAGTCAAATTCTCAAAATCTGGTTTAGGATAATTTTTGGGTGAAATTTTTTCTTTCACTCACAAACACATGAATTTTTCTTCAAATAAAGTTTATATCCAAATACAACTTCAACATTCAAAAGTTATTTTTCAACATAACTTCGAAAACTCTTTTTTCAAGTTTCAATCAAATTTATGTCCAAACGCTAGCTAAGATAGTGGCAGGTAGTTATATATTAGGAACCTGAATTAAATGGTATTTTAATATGTTATATCATATTAAATTTCTAATATTGTAAAAGTTGTTTACAGTCATATCTGGATTGCAATCTTTATAGCGATAAAAAATACCTTTCAATAAAAAGGAAAGAAAGATCTACAAAATATATGTCTAGCTAGTCCATCTTGCTATTTGATAAACATCTTTCGATTTTTAGTCTCGTCGGGACGATATTTGGTTGTTTATTGAATATCCAATACTTCCTTGCGGATTCCGAATTTCTGAAGGAACAACAAGTAGTGGTTTTTTTTTGTTGCTAATAAGGATACTTATATTAGAAATTAAGTAACGTAACAGTTATAGTGTTGAGAGATGTAGTCCCCACCTATTTAACTAGACTACAGTTAGTAGAGTAGTTAGTATTACACTATACTATAGTTAGTAGTTGAGTTAGTTATAACTAACACTTGTATAAATAGTAGCTTAGTTCCCAGATCAATGTAATTGTGATTTTTCTGCTCAATGGAGTAACTGATTTCTTCTTCCTCTCATTTCTTCTCCTCTCACAGCCATAGCTGAAGCTTCGTGACATGGTATCAGAGCTCGGTTAAACGAGTGTTAGCTCAGCTGTGATGGATCCAATTGAGTCAATTACCTAAGTAAATTTGATCAATTGAGCCAATTCTCAATCTGAATCTCACTCCTCACAAGCTAGGGTTTGGAGATTTGTTCGATTGAGCCTCGATTGACTGTTAATAGCTGCATTTCTCTTTAATCTCAGAATTCTCAGAGTTTTTCCTTCAATTTCTACAACAATGCCGGCCAATGAAGAAGTTGCTGATAATCAGACCTTCGCACAATCAGTTGATCAAGTCGATCATCATCATCCTTTGTACATTCACCCATCCGATACACAAGGTTCTCTTCTCATCTCTATTCAGCTACAAGGTTCTGAAAACTCCTCTATTTGGAGTAGATCTTTGAAAATCGTATTGCATGGTAAAAACAAATTAGGCTTTGTCTTAGGCACCTGCAAAAAAAAGTAACTATGATGTTAGTTTTCACGAGCTATGGGATAGGTGCAATGCAATGTGTTAGCACGGATTATGAATACTGTGGCACCAAATTTGATTAGCACTGTCATCTATGCCTTCGATGCCTATATTGTCTAGGAAGACCTGATGGAACGATTTGACAAAGTAAATGCTTCTAGAGCAGCTTATCTACATAAGGAAATTGTTACTTTAACACAAGGAGAATCCTCTGTGTCTGTGTATTTCTCTCGTTTGAGGGAACTCTGGGATGAGTATGAAACACTTACTCCTCCACCTTCATGTGGTTGTCCTGAGTCAAAGAAGCATGTAGAACCCTATCAGCTTCAAAAGCTTTATCAGTTTCTCACAGGCCTCAATGACTCCTATGAGAATGCCAAAAATCAGGTGTTAATGACTCGACCATTACTTAATCTAAACCAAGCCTATGCCATGATAATCAATGTAGAAAGCCAAAGGATCACTGGAAAAAGTGTGTATGGTTCTAATGATAACAATGAAGATGCTGTTATGATGAGTAATAGAGCTTAGAATAGTGGTCACAATGGAGGATCTAACAATTCTGGAGGTTATACCAACACTGGCTACTCTGGAGGTTACAAACCTAAGAATTTCTTCAACAAATCAACAATTCAGTGTGACTATTGTAAGTGTAAAGGTCATACAAAGGAATACTGTTTCAAGCTCCATGGATATCCTAGTGATTTCAAGAACAAGAGAAGAGGAGGAGGTTTTAATGCTCAAACAAACAATGTGAACAACAATATGAATCATATTGAGAACAACTATGTCTGCCCTCAGAAACACAAGGCAACCAGCTGAATTGTGCTGCTCCAGCTCAGTTCTTTACTCCAGAGCAATACCAGCAAGTCCTGCAGATGCTGAACAAGGGCAAAGATACTGAACCTATTGCTAACTCAGCTACTACAAGGACATCAAGTATACTATATGCTTTTATGTCTACTTTGGTGGATCATAATTGGATAGTAGACACGGGAGCATCTTATCACATAGTGCATTGTCTAAATCTATTGGACTCCTATGAGGAAGTATCAGAGAAGGATAAAAATAAAGTCCAATTGCCTACTGGAGAACAAGCTTCTATTACACACACTGGAATATGTTCTTTCTTCAGAAATATGAAAATTCGGAATATACTTCACATTCCGGATTTCAAGTATAACTTACACTCAGTGTCTAAAATAATAAAAGAGTTAAGGTGTTTGGTGGCATTCTTTCCCGGATTCTGTGTCTTTCAGGAACTCTTCAGTGGGAAGGTACTGGGGATTGGTAGATAAGAACTTGGACTCTACATCCTCAAGGCTGCAGACAGACAAACTCCTGAACATCATACATTACCAAGTGCAAATACAATTGTTAGCACAAATAAAACTGTTAGCCATAATAATTCAAGTCCATGTAATGATTTCTCTTTGTGGCATAGGAGACTAGGACATGCTCCTCTAAAGGTACTGCAGAAACTACATAATCTTCATGAGTTGCATCTAACTGATCATCAGCATTGTACTGTATGTCCTATTGCAAAGCAATCAAGGCTACCTTTTCCTCTTAGAACCACTTGTTCTACTTCTATTTTTGATCTTGTTCATGCAGATGTTTGGGGTCCATATAGACTACCAACTCATGACAGCAGGAGATATTTTTTAACCTTGGTGGATGGTTTCTCTAAATACATTTGGATTTTTCTTCTAACTACTAAGGCGGATACCATTGTAGTTTTAAAGAACTTTCTTACAATGGTGTCAAATCAGTTTAAAACTACAATCAAGTGCCTCAGAACTAAAAATGGCACTGAATTTGTGAATGATCAAGTCCATTATCTGTTGCAAAGTCCGGGAATTCTACATCAAAGTTCTTGTGTTTGTACACCCCAACAAAATGGGTTGGTGGAGAGAAGGCATAGGACTATATTAGATATGGCTAGAGCTCTCAGATTTCAGGCCTTTATACCTATGATATTTTGGGGTGAGTGTGTGTCTATAGAAGTGCACCTATTGAATAGATTACCTACTGGACTTCTTCAAGGAAAATCTCCATTTGAAGCACTATTTCAGAAGACACCTTCCATAGAACATCTTAGAGTATTTGGTAGCTTATGCTATGTCACAAAAGTGCAGAAAGGTGATAAGCTCAGTCCTAGGGCAATTCCAGCAGTTCATATAGGATATTCATCTTCTCAAAAGGGCTATATTCTCTATGATCTACATTCCAAGGGCTTCTTTGTCAGTGGAGATACTGTCTTCAAGGAAGACATTTTTCCTTTTAAGCACATGCAACTTGGAACCTCTCTCTTATTTCCTATACTAGAGTTTACAGATTCACCAATTGAAAAGAGTATTCAACCTGTATCTGTTTCAGATTTGCCTACTTTTAGTGTTCAACAAATGTCTTCTCCTTCTAGTCCTCTCTATGGTGATCATTCTGAACCAACCCCTTCTATTCCTCCTTCTGCACCCTCAGTTTCTCCTGAAGGTCTCAGAAGATCTTCTAGGCCTTCTAAACCTCGTATATGACTAACTGACTATGTAGACCAGCGCAAGAAATCTACATGTCCTTATCCTGTATCACAACATGTTTCTTACAATCAACTGTCTTCAAACTACAGGGCTTCTCTTGCTGCATATTCAGCTATTGTTGAACCTAGAACATCAAAGAAGCAAGTGCTGATCCGAAATGGATTGAAGCTATGCAAGCTGAGATTTCAGCATTACAAGACAATAACACCTGGTCCTTGGTTGATCTGCCTCGAGGAAAAGTTCCTATAGGGTGCAAGTGGGTCTTCAAGGTTAAGTATAAGTCTAATGGTGAAGTGGAAAGATATAAAGCATAGCCAAAGGCTACAGTTAACAAGAAGGCCTGGATTATACAGAAATATTTTCTCCTATGGCCAAGATGGTCACAGTGACGGCTGTAGTTGCATTAGGTGCTGTATCTAGTTGGTACATATTTCAGATGGATGTTCATAATGCATTCCTTCAGGGTGATTTTCTAGAAGAGGTCTACATGCAAGTTCCTGATGGCTTTTCAAGCCAGGGGGAGAATCAAAAGGTGTGTAAGCTACATAAGTCTTTGTATGTATGAAGTAATCACCTAGGCAGTGGAATCTTAAGCTAACATAGGCACTCCTAGACATGGATTTTATTCAAAGCCATTATGATTATTCTTTGTTCACCAAAAGAATAGGAGCTAATCTTGTAGTCATCCTAGTTTATGTGGATTATTTGTTGGTAACTGGCAGCAACTTACTTCTCATTCAGCAGGTCAGAAAAGATTTGCAGGAGAAGTTCAAAATGAAGGATCTAGGGGAGCTAAAATATTTCCTTGGCATTGAGTTCTCAAGGTCTCAGAAAGGTATCCTAATGTGTCAAAGGAAATATGACCTAGAATTGGTATCTGAACTTGGCTTAGCAGGAGGAAAACCATCCTCTACACCTCTTGAGTTCAACCAAAAACTCACCTCTGTTGAATTTGATCAAATAGTAAAAGACAGTGACTCTGAAGATGTGCAACTTGAAGAGAAGGGAAATTATCAAAGACTAGTTAGGATGCTCATGTACCTAATAATGACAAGACCAGATATAACCTTTGTTGTTCAGGTACTTAGCCATTATATGCATGCACCTAAGACTTCTCAAATGGAAGCTGCTAGAAGAGTAGTAAGATACATCAAGTCTACACCTGGACTTGGTTTGTTCATGCCAATAGGAAGCTGCAATAAACTAATAGCCTATTGTGATTCAGATTGGGGAGCTTGTGTTGAGTCTAGGAGGTCAGTCACGGGGTATGTGGTTAAATTTGGAGATGCACTAATTTCCTGGAAGTCAAAGAAACAAGGGACAGTATCAAGAAGCTCAGCTGAGGTAGAGTTCAGAAGCATGGCAACCACAGTAGATGAAATTGTGTGGTTGGTTGGACTTTTCAAGGAGTTAGGAGTGGACATTGCTCTGCCTGTGACTCTATACTGTGACAGCAAGGCAGCAATCCAAATTGCTGCACATCCAATTTTTCATGAACGAACTAAACACATAGATATTGAATGTCATTTTGTAAGAGAAAAACTAGTACAAGGTCTTATTCAAACTCAACATGTTGGTACAACAGAACAAATTGCAGATGTGCTGACAAAGGCCTTGTGCAAACCACAACATGACTACTTACTAGTCAAGCTGGGAATGAAGAATGTATTTCATCCCTCAGCTTGAGAGGGAGTGTTGAGAGATATAGGCCCCACCTATTTAACTAGACTATAGTTAGTATTACACTATACTATAGTTAGTAGTTGAGTTAGTTATAACTAACAATTGTATAAATAGTAGCTTAGTTCCCAGATCAATGTAACAGTAATTTTTCTACTCAATGGAGTAACTGACTTCTTCTTTCATTTCTTCTCCTCTCACCGCCAAAGCTGAAGCTTCGTGACATATAGTTATTACAAGCCAAGACTGTTCGAGCTTTCAAGTCTTCAGAACAATCCTTATTGAAAGCTGATAAAGCAAAGGGAGGGGGAGATAAGTAATATAAGGGATGCCATGGTTGTCGTCCATATGAGGGTGTGAGGTTCATCCCATGCTTAGCCAAGGTATCTGCTACAACATTAGCTTCTCGGTATACATGTCTAAGCTCCACGTGATCCAATTCCAGCATCAGTTACCTTCAGTCAGAAATAATATGTAAGTAAAGTTCATTACCATGTTTGACCGTGGTGCACAGTACCTGTGAATCAGTTTCTATTTGAAGCTGCCAGAGGCTAAAGTCTTAGCTAACTGTAGGCCTAGCCGAAGTGCTATTGGTTCAGCTTCAGTAGCAGAGAAGCAAGTTAAACTGCTTGTGAATCCCGGGATCTATTGATTGGTTGAGTTACGAAAAATTCCTGCAGCTCTAGCTCTGTAGTTGCTTGATTGAAGGCGCCGTCAATGTTAAGCTTGACAAAGTTATTAGGCGGTGGGTACCATTTATTGTAAAGAGTGCACGTGTTGGCTCTAGGAGAACGAGCTGGTGAATGAAAGAAAAATTCTATAAGATGATACATGACATCAATTACAGACAACTCCTTGTGGGGATTATGAAAAAGATTATGATTCCGTATAATCTGACGAGTGTCTAGCTTATATATAATTCTAACTCGTATTCTGTCAAATAATAGTATAGAAAGATGTCGAACCCACAGAGATTGGTTAATCTATTCTACAAATGTTTCTTGTTTTAGTTACTATTTAAGAAAATCAGAAAGAGTTGAGTTGCGAGTTAACTAACCAAAAATGTGTAAATAAAGCAATGGAGAAATATTTTTTTATTTCACAGATATAAAAAGATGTTGGGATCCTGACTTCACTTAATATTCTTATTATATAGTAGATATATTTATTCTTTAATTTCTATTTCTCATGAATGTATAAATGCCTCTCACGATTACACCTATATATTATTACTTAAGTTGAACAATTAGTTGCACTCCTTTCGGTTATACAAATTAATCATCAAAATAGTAATGTTAAAGAACTAGAAATAAAGGCTCGAACTGAAAATGCTCTTTTTAGTAAGTCCCTTTCAGTTACCCTACTTGTTATAATAGATTACTATAATATTTGCCTCTCTCGATTACAAATAAATGTAAAATTAATTATAACATAATATAGATAGATATCACTATATAAATATGAACATCTATCAATAAAGCAGATAAAATAGAATTTAGCTCAAGCATGTGAAATTATAGAATAATATCTATTATTATAAGAAATATTAAGATCTGTCACTCTCCTAACATAAGAAAAGTGACTCCATATTGGAGACAATACCGATAACGAAAATATTCTTGCCCATTAATAAGAAAATAGAAAGAAATATTCTGTCACGACCCAAATTTCACCTCTGTTGGGTTTCGTGATGGCACTTAGTCTTAGGGACTAGGTAAGCCTAACATTAAATGAAACAACAACAACATTTAAATAACATCTAACAAATTTGAAATAGAAATCTCTTAAAACTTTACAACCCCAAAAAAGGTAGTACAAGCCATAAGCTCTACAGAGTTTGCTACAACTGCTAAATATAACTGTTGGAAATAAGTAAGAACAATGTGTATACAAAATAGGAAGGTGACTCCGAAGCCTGCAAATGTAGCAACATGTTTACCTTGAGTCTCCACGCAACAATCCACACAGCTACTAACGAGCAAGAAATACCTGGATCTGCACAAAAATGTGCAGAAGAGTAGCATGAGCACACCACAGCGGTGCCCAGTAAGTATCAAGACTAACCTCGGTGGAGTAGTGACAAGGAACAGTCAAGATACCTACTGTGACGACCCGGCCGGTTGTCTTAAGAATTAACGCCCCGATCCCCCATTAACTGCTTCCCCTAAGTTTATTTCTGCTATTTTGGTTTGCCGGGACATTCAGTGTTGGGTTTCGGAGAGTTTTGGGACACTTAGTCCCTAAATGAGAGCTTAAGTGTTGAAAAGTGGTTCGTAGTCGGAACAGTGTGAAGATGACCTTAGAATGGAAATTCGATGGTTCCGTTAGCTCCGTTAGGTGATTTCGGGGTTGGGAGCGTGTTCAGAATGTATTTTGGAAGTCTGTAGCTCATTTAGGTTTGAACTGCCGAAGTTTGAATTTTTGAAGTTTCCGATCCGATAGTGAGTTTTTGATCCGAGGGTCGGATTGGAATTCCGGAAGTTGCAGTAGCTCCGTCATGTCATTTGGGACGTGTGTGCAAAATTTCAGGTCATGCGGACGTGTTTTGGTTAGGTTTTTGATCGAAAGCGTATTTTGATAAAATTTGAAGTTCTTAGGCTCAAATCCTTGTTTAATTTGAGTTTCCGGCGTTGTTTTAGGTGGTTTAAGGATTGGTACAAGTTTGAATGAGGTATTAGGTGTTATTAGTGCTTTTGGTTGAGGTCCCGGGGGCCTCGGGATGATTTCGGGTGGTTAACGGGAAAATTTGAGAAGTGTTGCAGCAGCTGAAGTTTTTCCCTTCTGGTATTTTTGCTTCTGCGGCTTGGGAACCGCAGAAGCGGAGCCGCAGAAGCGGCCTTAGCATCGCAGAAGCGGAGGAAATCCTGCAGAAGCGGACTCGCATCTGCGAGAAAGCAACCGCAGATGCGGAACCTTGGATTTTTATCAAAGCCGCAGAAGCAGAACCGCATAAGCGGTTACTGGTCCGCAGAAGCGGAAATCCCTGTTCAAATATAGAGATTTCGAGGGTTAGTTTTCAGAAATTAGAAAAATCAAATTGAGCTCGGGGAAGGGCGATTTTGAGAGGGTTTTGAAGAGGAGATTATTGGGTAACGTTTCTTTAATCCCTTCTAGTTATATTTCATCATTATGTAGTTAAATCCATCATTAAAATTCGAATTGAGGATCAAAAATTGGAAAAATTGGGTGAAACTTCATAGGCTAGACTATTGAGTTTTGAGTGGGTGTTTGACCTCCGATTTGGGAGATTTTTGTATGGTTAGACTCGTGAGAGTACGAGGGTTCTGAAAATGTAAAAATTATTCGATTCCGAGACGTTGGCCTGAAGGGCATTTTGGTCATTTTACCTAATTTCACGCCGTAGCTTTGAATTAAACAGTGAAACCAGTTGTTGCGATGTTATTTACGATATGTAATTGAATTGAATAGATTTGGGCCATTTGGAGTCGGATACTCGTGGCAAAGGCGTGGTTTCTGGTTGATTTTGTGCCGGTTCGAGGTAAGTGGCTTGTCTAACCTTGTGTGGGGGACCTTTCCCCTTAGGATTTGTTATTTGGTATTTTTTGGTG